TAGGTCACACGCCCCTCTTGCCTCGCCGGCCCAACGAATTGCCGATGGACGGAGAATTAATCTATTTATAACCGACCCCCCCGACTAGAGATCGCTTTTCTATCGCCACCGGCAAAACGGTGGAACCCATTTCTCTGCTCCTTCGCAATATGAAGATTTCCCCGGCACGTTTTTTCTTTTCTCCTTTTTTTTCAGCGCGCACGGGGTAACGCGAGGGCAATTGGTTCGATCCGTTGGTCAAGAGATCCGGTGACTGCAGAAAATGAGATAACGGAATTAATGAGCTACTGTGTTCGAGAACAGAAGGGACCTTAATCAAGCTTCGTTGGGATGCGCGCCACGACAAACCGGCCGGTGTTCTTGATCACGTCCCCGAAGCGTCTCTGAAACTCCCTTTTCCTCCTTCCTTCACTTTTTTCTTTTTTTTTTTTTTCGTCTTCTCATCCGCCACCGCGCTTGCCAACTCCGCCTCGCCTTGGGTATCGCCTTGAATGCCTCGAGGCTCAAACTTTCTAGTTATGAAAACGAATCTTGGCAAAGAGTTGGGGAACGGATCGCGAATTCCCCTCGCTTCTATCAATTCTGTGATCCGCCACCGACGACAACGTCGGATCTTTGACCCAGCGTCCCGTTTCCTGATCGTCTTAAACGATATTAGATTAAGATCCGTGACGAGACTTTGCACCGGGGGTTGCGATTTAAACGCAAGGAAATGGAAATGGAAAGAGAGAGAGAGAGAGGCGAGATTTATCCTTGTTTAGCCGTTAAAATTGGTAAAATTTCTGCTGTGGACTCGTATTTTCTCAGTTTGCGAATCTTGAAATGTTTGAAAATACACAGATCTCGTATCGAGAAGTTTCGAAGCCAATAATAACGCGATAGATCTTCTCGGATCGTAAAAGACGAATAAAAGTAATTTTGATTATCCGTTTCTCCTTGTCTAGCTCCTTGTAAAAATTCTGAAAACATTTCTGCTACATTATGGACCCATATTTTCTCATATTGCCAATCTTTGAAACGTTTGAAAATACACAGATCTCGAAGCGAATAATAACGGGAATAGAATTCAGTGGATACGTTTTACATCCCGTGCAATATACATCTTTTTGCGAGGAATTATGCTGAGAGCGCATATATATTAGTAACGATCGATGCTATTAACTCGTTGGCGGTGTAGCGCGATCTTGTGTGGCAAAAGAAGCCGAGTCCCTGATGCAGCTATCGGGGACGAGATAAACGAAGTTAATGAGCCACTCTTCGAGAACAGTGAAGTCCCCTAACTAGCAACACGTACACGTGCACACGCGCACACACACGGTGGAAGGCCAATATACACTTGACCACGATCCTCGAACGATACATTCCGCCTTTGTTCTTCGTTCTGTCCCACTGTCCGACCATTGTTTCGCGGCCGAGATTAGACGAGTTTCTTCTTCGATCTTGACAATGATCGATCGTGCCTTTACTTCGAGTTAACACACGAAATCCGTGCTTTTTCGCCCTAACGATTTCCATTAACCTCCCTTCGAAAAACGATCTCCCTTCGTGACCAGACTTTCTCTCTAAAACTCATCCAAATCGTACGAAAAAATCTCCCCGATTTTTATCTCGTTTCTTCTTCATTTCATCCCTTTCTTATTCTTAAAAACAAAGCCTCGCGTAATATTCCACTTTCTATCTATAATTCAATATCATCTTTCGTCTTCTTCGTTAAGAAAAAATGTTTCCAAAATGTTTCGTTTCGATCATTCCTTTAAATTTAAATTCCTTCCCTCTCCTTTTTTCGTTAAAAAATCTTTCCCTGAAAGATTTCGATCAACTCCTTCTCTCTGTCATGAAATTTTTCTCGTGAAAATCCGGAGCGAGGAGCTCGCGGAGACAGAACAGGACACGTAAAAGGATACGCATCACGAGCGAGTTCTCTCGCGGAGGAGGTCTTCTCTACCAGCTAGGCTTGTAGGAATGCAAATTCGTTTAGAGAAGAAACGCTCTCTCGTTGAGTGCGCGCAAAAGTCGAGAGCAGAAGCAACGAGCGACGACAAAGACGACGACGACGACGACGACGACGACGACGACAAGGTCAATCTTCGTGGTGGATATTGGTCGGTATGCGAGCGTGCAACGACTTCGCTGACCGTGGGAAGCTGTCTTGGATGTTAGGTAATTGAAGAATTTCTCAGAAAATGGGCGCACGCGCGGAGCAAGTTTCGAAGAGTTTACCTCTGGCGAGTAAGAAGCGAGTAAGTCTTGCTCTTTCAGACTCTTCAAGACCAGCTGCCTTCTTCGTCGGCAATTAAGCGTGACGCGATGCCATCGATTCATGGATACCGTGCTTATACTTTAATCGCACGTGCAATTTTCCTAGGCGTGTTGAATACACGTCGGGAGGAGAGGAACGAAAAGTTCGTGGAAATCGGAGTTAAACTGGATGGAAACCACTGGAACGAGGTTTTTCTTCTTTACGAACCATTCTACCGAATGATTTTCAATAAATTTTTCTCAACTCGTAATTGAACTCGCTACACATTTTCTCAAGAGGAAATCCATTTATTGGAACGAAATTTTCCTCGTGAATGCCTTATGAATAATTCATAACAAACTCTAAGCTTCCATTACGAGAGGATGCGAAACAAAGACTCGTTTCATACGCATAATTCAAAAAAAAAAAAAAAAAAAAAAAAAAAAAAGAAACACGAGAATACACTAAACGAGTCCATCGATCATTACATTCGATCTCCTGAACCCTGAATTTGAACAAAAAGAGCAATGGCGCATCTTCTATTCTTACTATTTATCCCCGGATCATGACTCGTATAAACGCGCGTAGCACCACCTAGCGAATCGACACAAGTTCGGAAACAAAGAAATGCAATCGATAACCGAGATAGATGATGATTGCGCGGAACGGGCAGCAAGCGACGCAATTACTTTACGATCGACGTGGAGAATTGTTGCTCAACCCGTCCAATTATGAAGGCTCTCATAACCCAGCTAATTAAATTCGATAAATTATTGCCCGTTTCGACATCATCCATCGTGCCTCCTTCCTTTCGAATAAAGGTGGAGGCGAGCGCCGCCTAGGCGCGGATAGCGCGGGGAAAAACCGCGGATGAAACGGTTTAACCCCGGCGGGGTGGGTGGATCGGCGGGGCGCACAGCCGCAAATGACACCGAGCTAATTTTCCGGGCGGAAAATCACGAAGCCGGGCAGAGAGCAGGTAGCGTAAACGCAACGTGTCGGTGACACCTCAACAAGTGGATACGGAACGCGTGCGCACGTGTCGCTGACACACGTACCGCCCGTGTGTGTGCACGCTGCGAGAAAATCGCCGATAAAAGGGCAACGTATCCAAGTCATCGACGCGGATGCACCGTTTTTCGTTGCAACTGAGAATTGGTTTGCGCCACACCGCGATTTTAGATAAACTGGAAGGGTGAAATATTTTCTTTCCGTGAATTATACGTATTTCGAACGACTCGATCTTCGATTGAACTGGAATCATCGAATATCTTACGAATTTTCACGCTTAGATCTCTAACTCTTCCGGGAGAGTGCCTCGATTTAAGAAGAAGGGAAAAAAAGAAAACGAAAAAGTTCAAGTAAAGAGTATATAGCTGGTATAAGAAAAGAGAAGCAAAAAAGGGAAAAGAGACGAGTGGAGGGGAAAAAGTGGAGAAGAAAAAATGGCGAAAGAAGCGGAGGAAAGAAGGAAAGGGCCCGTTATGGCGACCGTATTGCATCCCATTAACCGGTCGACCGAGTGATCTTGATCCCATCTCTCACCGCGACGGCGCCCTGCTTCTTCCCCTTCCGATCCCTCAAACTCAAACGTGATCCGGCCGTTAACGATCGCCGCCAAGATCATCGCTCTACGTGTTCGGCGTAACGCGTAACTTCTCATCGCCACGACCGATTTCTCGCAAGCGTTGCCACTTGCTTCTTCGATCCCTACACGATCCTCGTGAATAAAGGTCAACACGCGATCATAGCGTAGCGTGTATACGATAATAAATCGTTAATCGTGTTACGTTAACAATCGCGATAATTCGATTCGTTTGTCGAGCTCGCGGGATGGAAGATAAAGACGGAATTATTTCAATCGCGACAGGATAAAAAACGAGCTTTTTTTACACTTTAAAACGATTAGAAACTATACGGGTTATCTATAGAGAAAGTTTCTAGGGAAATATAGGGAAGAATTCCGCTTCGATAAAAATGTATGATATATGTTTTTAAAGCGAACGTTGATGCGGTTTCACGCTTAGCAATGCAACCACCGTCGCATTTTCCCGCGCGATTTATCCTACGAATTGCTGCCAGATGGCGCTGCGGAGTTGCGTAAACGTAACAATTGCATAATCGCGAGCGGTGGCCTTCCGATCGAAGACGCGACACGAAACTCGGCCAGGTCGATAACCTGCAGCCCGGTTGTGTTAATTAACGGCGTACACACGAGCCACCGGGGTTACTCGTTCCTCCACTCGGGCCAGACTCGACGAATTCCCGTTACCAACCTCGTTTCGCCTCTGAAATTCTCTGCCAATTACCGCTCCGCGAATTTTCATAATTTTTTATTCCCTCGCTCGTCCTCCGCCAAACGGATGCTTTAATTGCAACGTGACGCCACCGCTTGTCGCGTGCCGTTCTATTTTTTTTTTTCCTCCTCTTTCCTCATCCTTCTTCTCTTCTTCTTCTTCTTTTTCTTCTTTCTCAAAAAAATGTTCGCACGGGGACACGTTTGAACGTTCGCGCTTTGAGTATTTCGAGCGGAGAAAATTAAAAGAGAAAATACGGAGGGAAAGGTGGTACGATCGAATAAATCTTAGCGGGGCACAATCGTTGGTAGATTCGATTCGGGGCCAGTGGCACGGAAGAGTACACACGTGGCAAAATCTCCCGCCGCAGATAGGCAACGTCGTACGTGCTCCGTTACTCTGTAGATGATCAGACAAAGGGGGAGGGGCAGATACATATATATATATATATATACTACACTCACCTGAACGTCCACCAGATGTTGAAGCACATCGTGTTCAGCCAGAAGAACGCGGCAAGGAAGAAGAAGTGAGCCATGATTGCTGAAACAGAAAAATGGACTCGGTTAGTACGTAGTTCTTTCATGGTCTCTCTAAGGAGAGGGCTCAAGGCCAGCCCGCCGCTTTTCTTCGTCCCTGGGAGAATTATTTTTCCCACGGAGCTCGAGATACGGAGGAGGAAATAACGCTTCGATAACGGAGCAGGAAATCGCCAGGAAGCGATTTTCTTTGGTCCCTTCTTAAAAACAAAAAATTTCAAATAATTATGAAGCGATCGCCAAGTTACAAACGATTTATTTATATCATCGATCGAATTTCAATCGAGAGACATAAAATGATATAAATAAATTATTCGATTATTCATCGTCCAACGATTAAACAGCCCTTTAAGACAAACTATTATAAAATATTATAAACTATTATAATGTCATCGTTCTCTCTTCAAGAAGCATATCTTGAGAACTTCTTACGACGATTCTAAATTCCCGAAGAACCACCAAGATCCCCCTAATCAACGAACCGGGTAGATACAAAAGAGCTCATCGACCTTCCAAACGCGTGCTTCCAGCTGACGGCACGCCGAACCCCGTCGAAACAAAAGGAGACAACGCCGATTCCCAGCTTCGCGATGAACTTTCAAAGATTCATGAAGGGGAAGAGGAGGGAGGAGGGGAAAGGTAGCAGGACCGTGGCTCATCCAGACAAAGCTCGGAGGGAGAGACAGCTTTTGTAAAGATCCGTTTGAAAAGACGGCCGCGCACCGGTTGACTGGGAACGCTTTCGGGGGTAACACCGGGGGTCTGGACTCGATAAATTTTTCACCCTGTCGTCCGCACTCGTTCTTAGAATTCGCGGTGGAGGGTGGAGGGATACAACGGGCTCGTCGAGGGATCCAGCCGCGATCTTGGCTTGGCATTAATTTCTGAAAGGCTAATCGCGAAAATCGATCGAAAAATACGATTTTTCTCTTCGATGAGTTTGCAAATCGGTTTTGCAGATTAATTTTTCAAAGTCTTAGTCTGGAGTGGAAACACGCGTCGACGAAAAATATACACAGGGGGGAAAGAAAACGGCCCTTTGAAGGAGCGAATCCCGCCTCCTTCTAAGTTTGCCATTAATTTCTGAAAACGTAATCGCGAGCGAAAACACACGTGGCAGAGAGACGTCCTTTCGATGGAGGACCCTTGCGAAAAGCGAAGAAAGAATACAAAAAAAAAAAAAAGAGAGAGAGAAAAGGG